GGAAGGGACTTAAGAGAACTTCCTGAAGTGGTTGGTCCCTCTGGCGCCAAAATGATACTAGGTCTGATTCTCAGCTTTGCAGTTTTTCAACTTTCCCAAGTTCCCCATGAGTCATCGCTTGGTCAATACATAAAGCCTCGTAAATTAGTAAAACGTGTCCCCTCTGGGTGGCTGCAACCCTTTTCAAAGCCTCATCTCCCCCTATCCTGAACCCTGGATCCTAAGAGTGTATCAAATCCCAAAGACTGAATAAAAACCCAGTTTCCATTTCTATTAAATGGAGATGATCTCTTCTGACTCGCCTTCCCCAGGGTGCAGCATCGAGGCACAGGCCACCCAGGAAGGTGGCTTGCTTGCTTACCTGTCCCCTGGGTGATGCAAGAGATGAGGTCCTGCAGGCGCACCTTGAACTCGTCGAAGCCATCCGTGCGCACGGCAGCTTGCAGGCTCTGGGGCTCCTCCTGGCGCAGACGGCAGAGTGCCTGGCGCAGGAAACCGTGCATGTCCAGCACCTCCTGGTCCGAGGCATAGCACTTCATCCTCTGCACGAGCGCGCTGCCCGTGCGGATGCGCTGTAGCACAGCGTCCAGGCGGCCCAGCCGGCTAGCCATCTCCTCGTAGTCGCGCTGGTACCGCGCCTCCACCGCCTCCAGCAGCTCGCTCTCCTGCGCCTGCACGTGAGCTACTACCTGGCGCACGCGCGCGCGGATCAGCTCCTCCGTGTCTGCGCGCGCGCGGCCCAGCTGGCCGACGGCCGCGTGCATCTGCGCGTGCGCCGCACCGAAGGCGCCGTCCTGCTCCTGCAGCGCCTGCGTCATGGCGTCCAGCTCCTCCTGTCGCTGCTGGATCTCCGCGCTGATGTCGCACTTTAGCTCGCTGTGGCCGCTGTCAAGGAGCGCGCACGAGCAGCACAGCGGCTTGGAACAACCTCGGCAGTAGATGCTGTGGACACACAAGGTCGGATTAGGTTAGGAGTCTCCTTTTTCCACTTAAAACGTTCGTTATTAAATTCCTCTTGCAAAATTACCAGACTTTGAATCATGGGATGTTTCTCGGTTCCTGCTTTTCCCAGTTCGGTGTTTGTGATTATGATGATAGTCTCCAAACTACCAGTAACACATGAGTATAAAAAATAACTGCAGTAGGCCGGGCACGGTGGCTCACGCCTGTAATCCCAGCACTTTGGGAGGCCGAGGTGGGTGGATCACGAGGTCAGGAGATCGCGACCATCCTGACTAACATGGGGAAACCCTGTCTCTACTAAAAAAAAAAAAAAAAAAAAAAATTAGCCGGGTGTGGTGGAGCGTGCCTGGAGTCCCAGCTACTGGGGACCGGGGGATTTAGGCAAGAGAATCAGAGAGGTGGAGGTTGCAGTGAGCCTAGATCACACCACTGCACTTCAGCCTGGAGACAAAGCGAGACTCCATCTCAAAAAAAAAAGTTACTACAGTAACAATTTCAAAATCTGGAAAACAATACAAAGATATATGAAAAGAAAATAGTCTCTTTCCACCACTTCTGAATTTCCCTTCACCACCAAGTGGTGCCAGGTGAGCATCGTGGGGTGCACCCTTCCACACCTTTCTCCATTGAAACCACCTTCTGCAAATGCCAGGCTGGGCTGCTGCCTGCAGGATGGCACAGACTTGACGCATGTCAGGCAGGCCACTTAACTGCTGCAAGAGCCCCTTGGGTGAAAATTATTGTTATCTACATTTCCCAGAAGAAGAAACAGAACATGTTAAATGGACCCAGATATCTACAACAATTTTGGGGGTTGATGTTTGTTCAAAAGAAGGAAGGGAGGGAGAGAAGGAAGGAAATCAAGTCATATACTTTGTAACTTCCTCCTCTCGCCAAACTGTCACTCAGAGCATTCCTCTAGGTCCATAGGCACAGATCTGATATATTCTCTTTAATTGCTCTGGTATATCCCAGATGGGTCACAACTGATTCAGTCATTCTCGTTTGGCCGGCATTCAGGTAGTTTTCTGTTTGTGCATTTTCTTTCTTTCCTTTTCCTTTCCTATTTTTTCTTTTGGTGCCAATATGGATAACACTTCAGTAACATCCAAGTTATATAGCTTAATCATGGATGCTTTTGTTTCTATGAAATAAGATTTATAAATATAGGCTTGCTCGATCAAAGAGTTTGTATTTTAATATTTTTATTTAGTTAATATATTTTAGCTAGTGGATACTTCCATAGCATTTATTGTGTGTCAGACACTATTATAAGCATTTGGCAAATATTAACTCATTCAATCCTCCTGACAATCCAGCGAAATAGGTACCATTATTATTACCATTTTAGAGATGGGAAAACTGGTGCAAGAGGCAAAATAATTTGTCCAAGGTCACACAATTAGTGGTAGAGTCTAGACGCAAACTCTAGTAGGCAGAATAGTGGCCTCTAAAGATGTCCACATTCAAATTCCTGAGACCTGTGACTAGGTCACCTTACTACGGCAAAAGGGTCTTTGCAGAATGTTATTCAATTAAGGACCTTTAGATAAAGAGATTATTCTAGATTATCTGGGTGGGTCCAATGTAATCACCTGAGTCCTTAAAAAGGAAAGGGCAGGAAGGTAGGAGAGTGAGAGGAGATGTGACGAACTCAGAGGTGGGAGTGTTGTGATGTTGCTGGCTTTGAAGATAGAAAGGGGCCATGTACCAAGGAATGTGGGCAGCCTCTAGAAGCTGGGAAAGGCAAGAAAACATTCTCCCTGAGAGGCTCCCAAAGGAACAAAGCCTGCTGACACCTTAATATACCTCAGCTGTTTCAGATGTCTGACCTCCAGAACTATAAGAGAATATATATATTTATTTTCTTTTTCTTTTTCTTTGACAAAGTCTCACTCTCTTGCCAGGCTGGAGTGCAGTGGAGTGATCTCGGCTCACTGCAACCCCCACCTCCTGGGTTCAGGTGATTCTCCTGCCTCAGCCTCCTGAGAAGCTGGGACTACAGGAACACGCCACCACACCCAGCTAATTTTTGTATTTTTAGCAGAGATGGGATTTCACCATGTTGGCCAGGATGGTCTTGATCTCTTGACCTCGTGATCTGCCTACCTCAGCCTCCCAAAGTGCTGGGATTACAGGCGTGAGCCACCTCACCCGGCCTATATTGTTTTAAGCCCCTAAATTTGTGGTAATTTGTTACAGCAGCAATAGAAAACTAAGAAAACTATATAAAAACCCAGGCAGTCTGTCTCAGTGATGTTTCTATTACAAGGCTGCCTCTTCAAATATTACCAGGGAAAATATTATTTCCCCAGAAATACTGCTGTAATTTACCCTCACCAGCAGTGATTAGAATAAGTCTTGGTGGCATAAACCTATAAATCCCAGGTGCTCGGGAGGCTGAGGTGGGAGAATCACTTGAACCCAGGAGTTGGAGGTTGCAGTGAGCAAAGATTGCACCACTGTACTCCAGCCCGGGCAACAGACTCCATCTCAAAAAGTAAAAGAATAAGTCAGCCCACCTGAGGCCAGAAGAAAGGGTTTCATCTGGGGCAACACTGAGATCAACTTGTTCTGAAACCTCCAACAGAGAGCCTGCTGGCCAGCCAGACTGATACAAGTGCTCATCAATGCTGTGCTTAATTAGAAATAAATACTAAGCAATTATGAAAAGAACTAATAACTCTGCAGAAGGCATTTTGGCACTACCCATCAGAATTACAAACGCATTTATCCCAGCAATCCTCTCTCTATGGATCTGCTCGCAGTTCTATCTCCGCACATAACAAGACAATATCCATACAATTTCTTCACTGCAGCATAGTCCACAATAGCAAAGAATTAGAAGCGACCCACCATCAAGAGGCAGTTAGTTACGTAAATTATGAACCACCCATACAATGGAATACTATGCAGCTGTAAGACACTGAGGAAGCTCTTTATATACTGATAAGGAAAATTCTCCATGGAGAAATGAGGTTAACAATAGGAGTACTGGGTTGGCAGCAGTGGCTCATGTGTGTAATCCCAGCACTTTGGGAGGCAGAGCTGGGCCTGAGGTCAGGAGTTTGAGACCAGCCTGATCAACACAGAGAAACCCTGTCTCTACTAAAAATACAAAATTAGCTGGGTGTGGTGGTGCATGCCTGTAATCCCAGCTACTTCGGAGGCTGAGGCAGGAGAATCGCTTGAGCCCGGGAGGCTGAGGTTGCAGTGAGCCAAGATTGCGGCATTGCACTCCATACTAGGCAACAAAAGTGAAACTCCGTCTCACACACACAAAATAATAATAATAATAATAATAATGAAAATGATGGGAGTACTGGAAGCATTAAATGAGTTAATATATGGATAAAAGTTCAAAAAATGACTGGCATATAAGTGTTCAAGAAATGTTAGTTATTAGTATTATGATATATATTTTAAGTTAGAAATCAAGGTACAGAAATGTGTGTATCAGATGCCACCTTTTGTGTAAGAAAGGGGGAAAATAAGAATATCTTTATATTTGATTGTATTTGAATAAATACATCTTAGAAGCACACACAAATTAATAAAAGTGTGGGCTATGGGATGCGGTGGGATGAGGGCAGAGTGAGACATTTCACTGCATGCCTTTTTAGATTGCTGTTATGTTTGAGCCTTGTGAGTGTATGAATGTGTTCCCTCTTTCTGAAATTAAAAATCAGAATACTAATAAGCGTGAGCAATTCTATAAGGTATAGGAATAGGAATAATATTGTAGGTATGGGAATTCATATTATAGGAATAATAATATAGGAAATAATATTATAAGTATAGGACTAAAGGGAGAAGAATGAGAAACAGTTGTCATTTTCCTACTTTGGACCCAAGGGAGACGGACTGTGTCTGATGTCGGATCCCCTTCCGTGGAGACAGGGCTCCAAGCCTGGAAGGGCATACCTCAGGCAGCCAAGACCTTCTGGACGCCCGTAGCCTCTGCTGGGTCTATTTCTAAGCTGCTTCTGTCCTGAATGGGGTCTCCCTAGGGAGAGTGACCCCTGCTCCCCCTCGAGATGGAAATGGGCAAATGGGCAGCAGGTGTCTGTGAGGTGGCCAGCCTGAATCAGACACCTGGGCCTGAAAGCCCCCAGCCCGCTGGTAAGACTGAGATGCAGACCCTGAATCACCACCCAGGGCCAGGAATGACCTTAGCCAAGCGGTTCCTTTATTCAAAGGACACTCACTGAGCACCTTCTGTGTGCTCAGCACTTAGGAGAAGGCAGAGGTGAAGTGGGCACCTCCCTGGAAGGGCTTCATGATAAGAACCCAGACTTAACTGTATCTTCAGAAAGGCAAAATAACGTCTATTTGCTTCTGCAATACTCAAAAGAATGAGCAAAAACACCACTAACTTAGTAAGAAATTGCTCAGCAAAGTGGCTAGATTACATAATAATTAAGAAACAAAAAAAGCATAATTCTATCTTAGCAGAGCAACAAAATATGGAAAAAATTCCATGGTCCCATTCACAGCAGCAATTTAAACAATTCTACAAAGCCATGGTTGTATGCCTATAGTCCCAGCCACTAGGGAGGCTGAGGTGAGAGGATTGCTTACACCCAGGAGTTCAAGGCCAGCCTGGGCAACACAGCAAGATCCCCATCTTTAAATGACTTTTTTTTTTAATTAAAAAAAAAGGTACAAAATACCTAGACATGATCCTAAAAAGAAATGTGTAGAAGTGATATGAAAAAATGACAAAAACCCAGTAAGTGATAAAGTCTAAAAAACAGAAGACTGCATGAAGGTCCCAAAAAGAGAGACTTAATACTGTAAGATTGTTAATTCTCCTCAAGTTAATAAAAAGCTTTAAGGCAATTTAAATTATTTTTGAAACTTAACCAAAGGATTTTAAATTTCTTTCTTTCTTTTTGAGACCAAGTCTCACTCTGTTGCCCAGGCTGGAGTGCAGTGGTGCCATCTTGGCTCACTGCAACCTCCGCCTCCCAGGTTCAAGTGATTCTTGTGCCTCAGCCTCCCGAGCAGCTGGGACTACAGGTGTGAGCCACCATGCCTAGTTAATTTCTTTTGTATTTTTAGTAGAAATGGGGTTTAACCATGTTGGCTAGGCTGGCCTTGAATTCCTGACCTCACGTGATCTTCCCGGCTCGGCCTCCCAAGTGCTGGGATTACAGGCATGAGCCACTGCGTCCAGCTAGGATTCTAAATTTTATATGAAGGAACAAATAGATAAAATAGATGAGAAGAAAAAATTATTTTTAATTAAAAAGACACAGAGTCTCACCATTTTGCCCAGGCTAATCTCAAACCCCTGGGCTTAAGTGATCCTTCCACCTTGGTCCCCCAAAGTGCTGGGATTTCAGGCCTAAGCCACTATCACCAGCTGCTAAGGAATGTTTGATAAATCAGCATAAGGAAAGGATAACACATTATAGAAATGGCATTAATAAGAGAATATGGTTCTAGTTCAAGAGTCAAAAGAAGGATCAGTAGAATAGACCAGATAGACCTGATGTAGTCCCCGGCATCTGTAGAAATGTAATATTTTATATAACAAAAAAAGCAAACTGATGGACATGAAAGGGGTTTTCAACAATTGGAATCAGAGAAATTGACTAGGGAGGAGGGCAGTGGGCAGGAATCGAGTTAGCGCCTTGCTTCTTGTCTCAGACCAGATACACTTCCTATGGATCACAGAGTTCAATGTGAAAAATTACATCACAAAGGTGAAAACACAGTTGACTGTTTATTCTCACCATAGTAAAGACATAATTATGGAAGAAATGAAAGAAACCATACAATCAAGAGATGCCACTGCCAAAAAAAATTCAAAACTATGTATTTTTTGGAAAGATATTCATGACTTACTATTTATAAGAAAAGCAAATTAAACAACACGAAGTGTTGTTCATTTTGTTTTAGATGATCACAGAGATAGCAAAAAGGAAAGGAAAAGGTCTAGCGTGGTAAGAGTTACCTCTTTCTCTCATCCCTCCTTTTCACCTATTCAGATTTTCCAGAAGTTTCTATAATCAACTCTAAGTAAAGGAGTTTGGACATCAAATAGGAAGCAATGGGAAACACTCAAAATACATCCCGTCTAGGTATTAAAACAAAGCTCTTTGTCTTCTCTGGGATGTATTGTTTCACTTACCCCTTTATGACTCTTCAGTTAAATAACCACATTGTTAATTTTTTAAAATATATTTTATTGCACTTTAGGTTCTGGGGTACATTTGCAGAACATGCAGGATTGTTGCATAGGTACACATATGGCAAAGTAGTTTGCTGCCTCCATCCCGTCACCTGTATCTGGCATTTCTCCCATGTTATCCCTCCCCCATTTTTTTTTTTCCAGAGACAGGGTCTTGTTATGTTGCCCAGGCTGGACTTGAATTCCTGGGTTCATGCAATCCTCTTACCTCAGCCTGCTGAGCAGTTTATTTTAATAGAAGCCCCAACGTGCTTCCTGGGTTCTCCATCTCCCCATCCTAAAGCTGTCCCTGTCTTAATTGCCATGCCGAAAGTGGTATGTATTAGGTCTTCCAGTTTCTAGCTACAAGGCTTTGAGCAAATTACCCTTTCTCTCTGAGTCTTAATTCCCCCACCTGTAGAATGGGAGTAATAATGCTTCCCTCATGGACTATTACAAGCACAAAGACAGGCTGGTGTATGTGAAGGGCTCAGCACAGTGCTACATAGTCATTGGACATTCTGGAGCTGTGAAAGAAGAACAGGCATTACACATGGAAGGGGACATCCCTTGTTGGGTGAACCTGTCAATCTCAGATCTGCCCTGTCCGCTTTCCACTTCACATGGGTCACTATAGCTGCACTGCCTGCTTGGGCCAGGGGAGCATCCTACTTCTGTTGTTCTAGGAAACTGGTAGTTCAAAAATGCAGGAAGCAACAATGTTATGAAATAGGACCAGTGAAGGAGGGCTGGTACCCCCGGCTTGCCTGAATGGTGACCAAAATCTTTCCTCCACCTGTCCCACTTCCATGCAGCAACTCGGCACTTTCACTTTGGCAGAGTGGCAAAAGAACAGCTCTTTTGGAAATTCAAGTGCCTACAGTTAAAAGGATCCATCCATCATTTACACAGCAGTATGAATGAATTTAACCAGATTGGTTTCCTGCTGTCTCCTGGTGACACCGCTGAAAAAACAAGATTTCTGAAACCAGGAGAGGAGATGGGTAATTCCAGAGCCTGGGATATTTGAAGAGAGTGAATGCATTATTCCTATTGACCTCCCCTCCAATGATGTATTGGTTGAGAAGGTGATGTTGGAAGAGGGGAAAGCCTGAAGTCTTGGAGAGGAAGATAGCAGAATAGAAAAGCAGCAAGGAACGCAGTGAGAGGAAGCATGATCTGTTTCACACTCCTGTCTTAGGCCCGCGCCACAACCAAGAATGGAGAAGGGAAAGTTTGTGCTTTTTCTTCTCCACTCTTTTCTACACAGGTACCTGCTCCCAAGGCATACAGCTGGTGTATCCATGGTGGGCAATGTTCTGCTGGATCATGTCACTCATTCAGCAGGTGGCAGGTACGCTGCCACGTGGGTTCCCTGTTTCTCCTGCCATCTTTATGGTGGAGAATGGCAGCACCATTCAGTGGCCACTCCCGGATGCTTCCCTGTCCTCTATGGCTTCAACAGTATTTTTTTATTAAGTCTCCTTGATCCTATCTTCATTTGCTTAAAAAACATACTGAGTACGGGCTGGGCATGGTGGCTGACACCTGTAATCCCAGCACTTTGGGAGGCTGAGGCGGGCGGATCACCTGAGGTCAGGAGTTCATGACCAGTCTGGCCAACATGGGAAAACCCCGTCTCTACTAAAAATACAAAAATTAGCTCAATGTGGCGGCGGGCACCTGTAATCCCAGCTACTTGGGAGGACAAGATAAGAGAATCACTTGAACCCAGGAGGTGGAGGTTGCAGTAAGCCAAGATTGCGCCACTGTACTCCCAACCTGGGAGACAGAGCAAGACTCCATCTCAAAAAAAAAAACCCAAAAAACAAACAAAAAAACCTTACTGAGTACCAACTAGGTCTAGGCATGGGGTGAGGATGTAAAGATGATTAAGGCAGAATGCTGGCTCCTAGAGCTGCCCCAACAGTTCCCACTGCTACTGCCTCTGTTCTTGCCTCAATTATTGCTTCTCTCCTTGAGCATGATGCCTTAAGAGGCCTCCCTGCCTCTGATCTCTCCAGCTCCAATCAGCTCTCCCAAGTGTCACCTGCATGGTATTTCTGAAATATGGTTATCTTCATATGCTGAGGTGATGGCCAGTATGCCTGTTAAGTCCAATCCAAACAGAGACATTTTTTTGGGCATCCTGTGTGTTCTCTGTTATTAAAGAAGATTCAGATTTTGGAGCAAAGTAGATCATTGGGGTAAATTCACTGCCTTTCATGACAATGGTATAGTATTGCGTACTGACAAACATGAACACGATTTGCATTTACATGCCTGTAAATGTTGCAAGAAATAAGAGTTTATCACATACATACTGATTATCAAGATATTTTATTTAAATCTGATCTATTTTCAGTAAATGAAATATCAAGAGATGGAAATACGTAAAATAATTAATTAAAGTCATGTATAAGAAAAAAGATGATTTGATGATTAAGGTAAAAATAACATGGCTGGGGGAGGGGTTAAAAAAATAACATGGCACGTATGAGTTAAGTAACATATGGTGAGAACAAGCAGCTCTTCTATTCAGTCCTGCCAATCTTGAAATACCTCACCAACTCTCACAGCTCTGGCAAAACATAACCACATTGTGAAATATGCCACAGCAGCAACTTGTTACAAAATCCAAAGAGTAAAGTTAATCATTAAATGTTAATAGAATCTGGTGACACAGAAAACAGGCAGTAACTCCTTATGTGACTGAAATAATTCTGATATTCTCAGGCACTTTATAAAAATATGTATCAAGGGAATGTATATGGTGGTTCTAATCTTGGTTACTCATTGACTAGTCATTAAGTAAATAAGTTCCCGCACCCCGAATGGTAGCAGTACTGTTATAGTACTAACTGAATACACCTCAAGTTAATAAATTACAAATTGTGATCCAGTAGAGCAAGAAAAAGAAGGAAATGAAAAGGAAGAAAAAGGAAGATGTGGGAGAAGTAATTTAAGCAAGTGAAATACAGAGAATTTTGGAAGAAGAGGCAAGAACGATCCCTGGACCGACCAAAGCCCGAGAGCCCCTGCATCCCATGCCCATCACCTACGTCCCGCCACCACCATCCCCAAGAGAAAGGCTGAAGGGGATGCTAAAGGAGATAAAGCCAAGGGGAAGGACGAATCATGGAGAAGATCCGCGAGGTTGGCTGCTAAACCTGCTCCTCCAAAGCCAGAGCCGAAGCTGAAAAAGGCCCCTGTAAAGAAGGGAGAGAAGGTACCTAAAGGGGAAAAGGGAAAAGCTGATGCTGACAGGGAGGGGAATAACCCTGCAGAAAATGGAGATGCCGAAACCGACCAGGCACAGAAAGCCAAAGGTGCTGGGGATGCCAAGTGAAGTGTGTGCATTTTTGATAACTGTGTACTTCAGGTGACTGTACAATTTGAAATACTATTTTTTATCAAATTTCATAAAAATGCAGAATTTCATTTTACTTTTTTTTTTTAAGCTATGTTGTTAGCACGCAGAACACTTCATTGTTGTTTTGTGGGGAAGGGGAATATGCCATTAAGAGAATGTCTCCGAAGCTGGATTGATGTGGGGAAAACACCTTTTCCTTCTAGTTTTGAGAAACTTCCTCCTGACGCACAGGAGTAGGGATTCCCTGACTTTTACACACGTGGCCACCTTGGCACAAACGCCTTGTGGTATGGAAAAACGAATTCTTTTTTATGTCCTCTTCTCACTTTCCATCTTTCAATATAGACTTAACTCCCTTAAGTGCAGACATCTCTTGGGACCTGACCCCCAATCATTGGTTACCAGTATGTCAGGCAATCTGGACTTGCCAGTGATGCCACTGAGATGGCACTTTCCAAAAGAGCAGTGGTTCCATTTCTGGATTGTGGATCTTCAGATAAATTCTGCCATTTTCATTTCACTTCCTGAAAGTCAGGGTCGACTTGTGAAAAGTTGTTAAACAACATGCTAAATGTGAAATGTCAACCCTCACTCTAAACTTTCCCTGTTCAGAGCATCGGATGAGGACTTCGTTGGGTTTTATAGTGGCTTTCTGATTTTTGGTAGTCCATCGAAAACGGGATTTTGAAAATTGTTGTATACTGTTAACAATTGTCTGCCCATGTCCTGACTGAAATACCATGATTGTTTATGGAAAGTATCTTTAATAAGGCTGGATACAGTTTGGCTTGAAAAAGAAAAGAAATAAAGAGAATTTTTAGATTGAAGGAGCATGCTAGGTTCCAGAATAATTTGATACAAAATGCTCAACACCAAGACAGCTTGGTTAAATTAATACATTTCAAGAATAAAAAACATCTTTAGGCATCAAGACAGAAAAAGCAAGTCAGTTTAGGCCCACGGCTGTCCTAATGAACAGTTGATGATGGAAGACAATGCAGCAGTATCTACAAAATTTTGAAAGAGAGTGCGTCCTAAGAATATTATACCCAGCCAAGATATCATTCAAGTATCAGAGTAACCTAAAGACATTCTCAACACCAAGAGACTGAAGGAATTCAGAACACAGAAGTCCTTTGTGAAAAAAAAAACTGCTTATCACAATATCTATCCAATTAAGAGTTCAGTGAAAATACAAAACTTGGGAAAAGTGATGTTAAAGTAAAAAGACTAGTGCTGAGTCTTATAGTCTTATTGACATGGAACCAAAATTAGAAGGATGGAAGTCAACCATCTTGATCTTTCTTTGCAGAGACTCAGTTACTACCATGTAAAAAAAGAAGTGTTTTATTAAAAACAAACAATATGAAGCAGGGCACAGTGGCTCCTGCCTGTAATCTCAGGACTTTGGGAAGCCAAGGTGGGTGGATCACCTGAATTCAAGACCAGCTTCACCTACATGGTGAAACCCCATCTCTACTAAAAATACAAAAAAAATGGCCAGATACAGTGGCTCATGCCTGTAATCCCAGCACTTTGGAAGCTGAGGTGGATGAATTATGAGGTGTGGAATTCAAGACCAGCCTGGCCAAGATGGTGAAACCTTGTCTCTACTAAAAATACAAAATTAGCTGAGTGTGGTGGCAGGCACCTGTAATTCCAGCTACTTGGGAGGCTGAGGCAGAGAATTGCTTGAATCCAGGAGGCGGAAGTTACAGGGAGCTGAGATCATGCCACTACACTCCAGCCTGGGCAACAGAGCAAGACTCTGTCTCAAAAAAAAAGAAAGAAAACAAATTAGCTAGGCATATTGGCCTGTGCCTATAATCCCAGCTACTTGGGAAGCTGAGGCAGGAGAATCACTTGAACCTGGGAGGCAGAGTTTGCCCTGAGCTGAGATTATACCACTGCACTCCAACCTGGGCAATAGGGTGACTCTGTTTCAAAAAAAAAACAAAAAAAGCAAAAAAATGATATGACTCCAACCTCTTAATGTCTTTTTTTTTTTTTCCTTAATCTTAGAGGGATCTTTTAGGAAAATATTAAGATGAAGACCTATTTCTTTGAAGTTTAGCAAGTCTAATTTTACGTTAGTTTCTTTTTCTTCTGTAAAAGTCAGGAAAAATTAAGTTCAACATTGCTTACATTGCATGCTTACTTAAGATACACTCTAAATTCTAAAGCAACAACTTTCAGAATTCTTTCTGCAACTCAGTGCAGTTGTTAGCTGTGGGCTACCTGAATGTAGAGTAGGAAAGGGGAACCCATTCTGCCATCAGGAAACTCTGCATCCTGTTCTGGCCCAGGCTCAGACAAGCTCTCCCTTTTGGGAAGCTCCTGTTAACTCTGGCCTCTTGTCTTGTTTGTACAAAGGGAACAGTTCTCTCTTCCTCAATAATCTTACAGGAGGGTGTGAGAATTATGAGACGAGCACAGGAAAAACATCTCAAATGGCAGGATAGTGCTCCACTTTGTTAAGAGGAATGGTTAAATGCAACCCTAACCTCGTTGGAAAGAGGTTACCCAGGTACCAAGGGGTCAGGGTGTTTCACTGGAGGCTGGCTTCAAACCTGTCCCCTGCACTTCGGTTTCTGTTCCACTGCCTTCCATACACCTGGAGTATTTTTTTCTTCTTTGCTTTCCCTTACAGTGGCTACTGGACATCTTTTCTAAGACGTATTAAAGGAATATTCTTCTTTCTTCTTATACCAATATGAAACTGGACTTTGCCTTTAGGTAGCCACACATTCATGTTCTTAGTCCATGAGCTTTGGGGAGTATATGACTCAGGCTTAAGCTGATCTGAGCACCCCCTAGCCTGAGCCACCCTTGCATGGAGAGCAATCTGACCCAATCAAAGACACTCCAAGATTTGGCTTGGAATGCTGGGAGAGATTCATACTCCCTCCTTAATATGGGACTGAGGGTGTAGCTTCTGGAGCTGTTGCAATCATCTGGCACCCATGAGGAATAAACCCTTCTGTGAATGGACCAGTCTTGGAAGAAAGCCAGGTCACAAGAAATACAGAGAAAGTACCTCCTGGTGACACAATCTGAATATCTAATTGGTTAGGTCAGAGGCCAGTTTCACCCAACATAAGCTATCAATCTGGCTTTTGCTTAAGCCACTAACTAAAACAGTGTCACTAATTTATAGTTTGTTTTAGAAGCAACTTACAGAGACAAATAAACCTCTTCAAGGTATAGCTCAAATGCTGACTAAAATATCAGGGTTTCCCTGATCCTCTTAGCTAAATACAAGTTTTCCCTTCTTAAAACTGCCACAGCACTTTATCTGAATGTGTCTTCTGGGACCTCTGGGTTCTCACGATAGAGTTACAAGGCTGCACACACATGCAACTTATCCATAGACTGAAACTCTCCACACATCCAAGCTTCAAAGGCAGGCATTCTTTTTCATCTGGGAATAGCTATTATAATGCCAGGCATGAAATAAATGCTCAATAAGTGATTGTTCAATGGCTGTCTGGCTGTGGCTCTATTAACAGTTTAATTTTATCAGTTAGCTTGTTAATTTCTTTTTTATGAGACAGGGTCTCGCTCTGTTGCCCAGGCTGGAGTGCAATGGCATGATTATGGCTCGCTGCAGCCTCAACTTCTCAGGCTCAAGCAATTTTCCCACCTTATTCCCCCTAGTAGCTGGGACTACAGGTGTGCACCACTATGCCAAAAGCTTGTTAATTTCAAGTCTTGTTAAAAATTGTTCTAAAGACTGGGCACAGTGGCTCACCTATAATTCCAGCACTTTGGGAGGCCCAGGCAGGTGGACTGCCTGAGCTCAGGAGTTTGAGACCAGCCTAGGCAACATAGTAAAACCCCATCTCTACAAAAAAAAAAAAAAAAAAAAAAAAAAATTAGCTGGACATGGCGGTGCATGTCTGTAGTCTCAGCTGTTATACTTGTGGGGCTGAGATGGGGGGGATCACTTGGGCCTGGGAGATCAAGGCTTCAGTAAGCTGTGATCACACCACTGCACTCCAGCCTGGGTGACAGAGTGAGCCCCCGTCCCAGAAAAACAAAACTAAAAAGCCCCAAATTGTTCTAAAATGTTCCTGACCTCCATCACTGAACAGCAAAGGCCACCCCCACAGCTCCAGGAAGAGGAGGAGATTGGCCTTCAGGAGAAATGAGATGAGAGCACTAGCCCTAATCCTGATCTTGGCTGGAGCTGCTTTAAATTCCTTGCTTCTAGCTGGACCCGTGGTGGCTCAAGCCTGTAATCCCAGCACTTTGAGAAGCTGAGATGGGTGAAGCCCAGGATTTCAAGAGCAGCGTGGGCAACAAGACAAAAACTCGTCTCTACAAACTAGGAAGGCTAAGGTGGGAGGATCGCTTGAACCTGGGAGGCTGAGTTTGCAGTGAGCCATGACTGTGCCACTGCACTCCAGCCTGGGTGACAGAGCCAGACACTGTCTCAAAAATAAATAAATAAATAAATAAATTCCTTGCATCTTTCTCCAAAACATCAAAAGAGACCAGGAGGAAAATCCCTTTTATCTACATATTATTCTACAAATCTACCTTCGAGGTAAGTTCATAGAAAAACTTGGAAATGGGTCATTTATTGTCCACATCTTTCATCATGTTGCCCAACTCCTGGCAGCAGCCTTTCTTCTGCCCATGTGGTGCTCCTTGCAGGCCAGGAAGCAATCCAAATAACATCATCAATCCCTAATAAAATGCAATTTACCACTGACGTCACAGAGGGCACCACCAAGAGAGCACCAAGCAGGGCTAGATGCCGATCCTTCCAGCTTCTGGTCTTGGGAGCTCTTTCCCCAGCAGTATGATCTCATCACACCTCTTCAACTGGATTAACAGGTCTTTTGTTTCCTCCATTTAATGACAATTCAAGCTCTTTCTGGCTGCAGGCTTTGATGGCCCTCACTCCATCCAGCAAATTTCAGGATCTGACACCCAGCCACAGACAAAACTCAGGTCCGCCTGCAGCCCCAGACCCATACCAAGCTTGGGTGGAAGCACTTCCGAGAACGTCCGGTCAGGCAAGTGCTGGCAGTGTGAGACCGCAGCTGGCTCTGTACCCCTCCCTCTCTGTGGGGTACCTCACCCCGACCTGGACCCATGCCTGAGTCTACCCATGAGGCTCCCTTTTCGTTGATCCAGATTCTTTGCTTCGGTTCTGTTGGATACATACCCCATATATGGTGGCAAATCCCCTCAAATTCTCCAGGAAATGGGGTGAAATACAAATAAGTCTGGAGCCAAAGATACTGATCTCCCTGTTCCCAAACGTGCCCACTTTCATCAGAGTACCAGGCTGCACAGAGAGAATCTGATCCTCCCACCGCTCCTCAGTGCCCATCAGTGGGTTTTCAAAAGAGCCCTCCACAGAGTCCCATTCCCATTTCTTCCACAGGGTGGCCTCTGGTGAGATTAGGTGGTATGAAGGCAGGACAAAGGAGAAAGCCAAGAACACTGAATGTTCTGAATTACAGCATAGAGTCCTGACTCCTCCCAAGCCTGCCACATTTGACCCCAGCTCACCCTTCCAGTGCCTGCCCTCACATCAACCTATTGCAGCTCCTGAGATGCCCCAGGGTCGCTAGTGCCCCTGGCTTGCACGTGCAGTCCCTCCTGTCTGTGGCATTTGTCTTATACATCATACCAAATGTGACAGCCTCTTGGAAGCCGCCTTCCTCAGCGAATCTTGGCAGGGTAAGTGGCCTTTTCTGAGCTCAGCCGCCTTTGTGCCTGCCTGCCTTCTTCCTTCCACAACTGACTGAGCCCAAACCGGATGTCAGCCCTGCGCCAGACAGGGCATGCTGCGGGTGGCAAACAACGCAGAAGACAGTGTGACAAAGGCAATTATCAAAACCCAGTTACAACAGACAGCAAAGTGATGTGGGCTTCTGCACAGAACACTGCCACCTCGTTGTTAATGGCTGATCTGTTTATCAGGCTGTGACCTCAAGGAGGGGCTGTGTCCATTCATATTTCTACCCCAGCCCCTAGCAAAGAACATGCCACACAGTGGGTGTGATATGAACATGAAAGAATGGACTCCACAGGCACGTGGAGTGAATACCAATGGCCCCAGGGAAGCCACCCCAGGGCAGATACCCCAGTCCCAGATTTAAAGCCACCTCTGGTGCTGCTCCCCAGTGTGAGCTCTAAATCAGCTCAGTGTCAAAGATCGAGGTGGCTGCTAACTGACCTGTGAGCAGAGGAAAGTTGTGAGCTCTTATTTATGGCATTGAGGTTTTGTGCAGAAAAAGGAGTCTGTCCAGTAACCACTGATAAATTGTGAAACAATGTGAATTGTGAGTGGGAGCATGGTTTTTAAAGGCCATACACCATGTTCAAGGGACAGGAATCCTACCCTCTTGCTGGCTGAATCTTCCTTGCCCATTGTACCTGACAGAGGGGATAAAAATATGCCACTCCAAAATGTGCCACTTTGGCTTATGATTATTTTGAGCTGCAGGCAAATGAAAACCAACAGATGCAGAGAGTAGCCTTCTAAGAGCTTCTCTTATCTGACTAAAAGCAGAAACTTCTGAGAAACGAGGACTGCCATGAATCTCCTCTCTCAGGGAAGTTTTACAGCCGTGAAAACGGAAAGCTGGCGCCAAGTGGACCCACACAAACAAACCTTACTCCATTGGTTTTCCCATATATTTACCAAATCTCATGTTGAAATGTGACCTCCAGTGTTGGAGGTGGGGCCTAGCGGGAGGTGTTTGGGTCCTGGGGGTGGATCCCTTATGAATGGCTAGGGGCCATCCCATGGTAATGAGTAAATTCTCTGTCTAGTAGTTTATGGGACAGCTGGTTAGTTAAAAGTACCTCCTCCTCTCTTTCCCTCCCTCCCTCCTTCTCTCTCTGGCTCCCGCTCTTGCCATGTGACAGGCCTGTTCCCCCTTCACCTTCTGCCATGAGTAACACCTACCTGCAGCCTCACCTGAAGCCAAGCAGATTTGTGGTGCCATGCTTGTATGGCCTGCAGAATCATGAGCCAAATAAACCTCTTTTCTTTATAAATTACCCAGCCTCAAGCATTCCTTCTAGCAATGCAAAACAGAAACACACCTTCCAACAGTTTGCCACCTTTGGAAGTCCAAAACCCCTTTCTTGTATGCTGTCACTTCTGTAAACATTTCTTTTTCTTTCATTAAGATGCTATTTAAGTTGTTTAACCAATGCTTTCAGTTACTCATCTCTGGATACTCTCATATATATAAGCACAATACCCATGCTAGATGCACATGCTGAAAAGCTCCTGTTTTATTCTTTTTTTTCTTTTGGAGACAGAGTCTTGCTCTGTCACCCAGGCTGGAGTGCAGTGGTATGATCTTGGCTCACTGTAGCCTCTACCTCCAGAGTTCAAGCAATTCCCCTGCCTCAGCCTCCTGAGTAGCTGGGATTTACAGGCGCATGCCACCATGCCTGGCTCATTTTTGTATTTTTGGTAGAAATGGGGTTTTACCGTGTTGGCCAGGCTGGTCTCAAACTCCTCACCTCAGGTGATCTGCCCACCTTGGCTTCCCAAAGCGCTGGGACTATAGGCATGAGCCACCGCACACGGGCTGCTTTTCTCTTGTTAATTTATATCTTGTTAGTCTGATTTACAGGGACCTAGCTGGACATTTAAAATGGGTATAGAAAAAAGGCTTTTTCCATCCCTAATGGGGAGAAATCCACCTCTGACCCCCACAGTAGAGATGGGACTGCTTACAAGCTGACACCCTCTGGGGCTCACGGGGAGCAGTCCTGTTCCATTGCAGGGATTGAGTGTGGGGTGTAAATTGTGCTTTACACAATGCTAGCAGCCCACACTAGCTACAAATACTGAACAATCTGAATGTCAACCTTTACAGGGGAGCAGATAGCACAGACCACAGGACCTATGAAGAGAATCAGCAGCCAAACTGAGCAAGTCTCAGGCCCCATTGAAAAGGGGATCATGTAGGAAACACACACCTCTGTAAATGCCAAGTGTGTTTCTCAGGGAGACTTAAGAACATACAACATTGAGAAAACAAGAACAGGCTGCCAAGAAGCATCCTGAGAATATTAAGCTCTTTTGGCAATTAAAGGAAAAAAGATTGCTGGGGGGAAAAACTCCACAACTCAACAGAGGTGGCAGATAGAAAGATGAGCTGGTGAATCAGAAAACCAATTCGAGGAGCTCTCAGAATCTGGAGGAAAAAGGCAAAGCAACAGAATTAATGAGGAAAAAATTTTTAAAGATGTAAAATATGTTCTTGGAGTTCCAATATCCATATAACAGCAGTAGTAAAAAATTTAAAAATAAACAAATGAAGAGCTGTCAATACATTAAAAAGTAAGGGCCGGCACAGTGACTCACACCTACCACCCAAGCACTTTGGGAGGCCAAGGAGGACAGATCACTTGAGGCCAGAAATTCAAGACCAGCCTGGCCAATATGGCAAAACCCTGTCTCTACTAAAAAGAAAATATAAAAATTATCCAGGTGCAGTGGCGCACTCCTGTAGTCCCAGCTACTTGGGAGGCTGAGGCATGAGAATTGCTTGAGCCTGAGAGGCAAAGTTGCAGTGACCCAAGATCATGCCACTGTATTTCAAGAGTGAGACTCTATCTCAGAACAAAAACAAAAACAAAACATTAAAAAGCAGAATACAATTTCCCTGAGCTGAAGAAAGCCTTGAGTTTTTCAGATCAACAATGGTGATAGAAGATTATTGAAAAAAAGGAAAAAATTTATAAAGGTCTTTAGCAGGCAAGGCATGGGCTCAAGCCTGTAATCCCAGTGCTTTGGGCAGCTAAGGCAGAAGGATAGCTTGAAGCCAGGAGTTTAGACCAGCCTGGGCAATATAGTGAGACCCTATCTCTACACACAATTTTAAAACTTAGCTAGGCATGGTGGCAGGTGCCTGTAATCCTAGCTTCTCGGAGACTGAAGCTGGCAGATCTCTTGAGCCCAGGAGTTTGAGGTTAGAGTGAACTATGATCACACCACTGCATTCCAGCCTGGGCAACAGAGCAAGACCCTATATCTAAACAAACAAATATACAAATGAAAACCACCCAACTATATTTATTAGCCAGGCGTGATGGCAGGTGCCTGTAGTACTGGCTACTTGGGAGGCGGAGGTGGGAGGATTGTTGAGCCCAGGAGTTTGAGGCTGTGGTGAGCTCTGATTATACCACTGCATTCTAGCCTGAGTGACAGAACAAGACCCCATCTCTAAAAAATAAAATAAATAAAAACCCTTAGCAAACAAAAACAGATTACTCACAGAGGAACAAACAGACAATAAGTGGACTTCTCGTCTGTAATACCAGGGACTAGAAATTTATGAAGCAATGTTCATGTATTCTGCGGCGAAAACACTGTGATTGTGACCTCAGAAGATTGCACCTAGCTAAACTTTCCCTCATATGTAACAGCAAAAGAAGGACATACAAGTTAAGACACTTAAGGTCTCAGAAAGTAAACTCTGAAATATTTTTTTTAATTACTTGATGGAGTATTCCTGCCAAATAGAAAATTAATCACCTTAAATGATTCAAGAAAGGAGAAGAAAAGTTATAGGAAAAATTATCATGAGCAATAAAACCAATTAAAGTCTAAGGTATGCTAACAAGTGGGTTGTAATATGACATAAAACTTCATACCTATTCAGAAAGGATGTTTACAATAGAGAAAAACATCAGAAGGTTGGTAGTAATCTGGAACTAAAAGTTCACGTTATTTCAACTAAATCTGAAAGTGAGAGGGAACAGGGAAGAAGAAAAAGTATGCTAAATGTTTTATTTTCTCTGGAAGAAATTATATTCATATTCTACTCTTTGTGGTAGTGTGTGTGTGCGCGCACACATACACTTTTTTTTTAAGACAGAGTTTCATTCTGCACCCAGGCTGGAGTGCAGTGGCATGATCATGGCTCACTGCATTCTTGAACTGCCAGGCTCAGGTGATCCTCCCCAAGGAATACCTCCACCTCCCGAATAGCTGGGAACAGAGGCATGTGTCACTGTGCCCAACTAATTTTTGTAGAGATGGGGTTTTGCCATATTGCCCAGGCCGGCCTCAAACTCCAGGCTCAAGCAATCCACTGGCCTTGGCCTCCCAAAGTGTTGGGATTACAGATGGGAGCCACCACATCCAGCCTATTTATATGTTTTAATGGGGAATTTACCACTCTATTATTATCATTTAGAGAACTGGTGAAACAGAATGGAAGGCAGGAAAGGTAGAAAGTTTCAATAGAGTGGAGATACACACACAAGCACTGGAACTTACATATATATGCATATATACATTATATGCATATTTGTGTATGTATATATATGTGTGTGTTCTGTACAACAAATAGTTTTTCAACTCTAAGGATTATTGCTAGGAGTATGTGAGTGTTCTGTACAACAAATAGTTTTTCAACTCTAAGGATTATTGCTAGGAGTATGTGAGTGTTCTGTACAACAAATAGTTTTTCAACTCTAAGGATTATTGCTAGGAGTATGTGAGTCCAAGGAATATCCTAGGCCACTAAGAAAATCTTAATATAGTCTTAGATGTAGTACTCGTACAGACTATATAAACTGACCATAGTGCAGAAATTAACAACAAATATGAAACTGCACCATCACTTTCCAGCCTGGGTGACAGAGCGAGAAACCAAACATCACAAACCACTTGAAAATTTTAGAGAACACTCTTCTCTAAAAATTTTCAAGAGAAAAAAAATTATTTTTTGAGTCAGGGTCTGGCTCTGGTGCACAGGTTGGAATGCAGTGGCACCATCACAGCTCACTGCAGGCTCAAACTCTGAGGTTCAAGCAGCCCTCCTGCCTCAACCTCCTGAATAACTAGGACTACAAGCATGTACCACCAACCATGCCTGGCTAATTTTTTCTATTTTTTGTAAAGATGTGTTCTTGCTATGTTGCCCAGGCTGGTCTCGAACTCCCGATCTTAAGAGAACATTTTTTTTAAAAAGACTGAAATGATATTTGAGAAATGATTGACTATGTGAACACTAATAAAGTTACAAAAGTTATAGCATACAGCCAAAGCCATATACAGAGAACTTATGCCTTAAAAAAGTTACTATTAGGCTAGGCACTGTGGCTCATGCCTGTAATCCCAGAACTTTGGGAGGCTGAGGTGGGTGGATCACTTGAGGCCAGGAGTTCAAGATCAGCCTGGTCAACATGGTGAAACCCCATCTTTACTAAAAATATAAAAATTAGCCAGGTGTGGTGGTGGGCATCTGTGGTCCCAGCTTCTGGGGAGGCTGAGGCAGGAGAATCACTTGAACCCAGGAAGCAGAGGTTGCAGTGAGCCAAGATTGCACCACTGCACTCCAGCCTGGGCAACAGAGAGAGACTGTTTAAAAAAAAAAGTTACGGCCGGGTGCAGTGGCTCACGCCTGTAATCCCAACACTTTGGGAGGCCAAGGCGGGCAGATCATGAGCTCAAGAGATGAGAACATCCTGGCCAACATGGTGAAACCCTATCTCTACTAAAAGTACAAAAATTAGCCAGGCATGGTGGCACGTGCCTGTAGTCCCAGCTACTCGGGAGGCTGAGGCGGAAGAATCACTTGAACCCAGAAGGCAGAGGTTGCAGTGAGCCGAGATTGCGCCACTGCACTCCAGCCTGGCGACAGAGCAAGACTCCGTCTCAAATAAAGAAAAAAGTTATTATTACTAAACAATACAGATGGCAAATAAATGAATTAAAAGTTCAAGAAGCTAGAAAATGAATAATGACGAAAGTTGGAAGAAAATGACAAAAGGAAAGTGATCAAACAGAGAAAACGTTAAAATCAGTAAGCAATCTAAGGAAAGACGGAAAGTACAAGGCTTTGAAAAGTCCACCGCACCACAGACATACAACATCAGAAATAAAAGAGGGTATAGTTACAGGCACAGAGGAGATTTTTAAATTATGAAAGATAACTCAGGATAAACTGGAAATTTTTCCAAAATTCTCACACAAGAGCCAGAACAGACAGATAATGCCATGGCAAAAATGGGAAAGGGTCTCAAAAATCTACTACAAAAAAGTCACCAGTTCCCAGATGGTTTTCCAAAAAAACTTTTATAAGCTGAATTTCTTATATTCTTCAAACTGTTCTAGAGCAGAGAAATTATAATAGAACTTTAACATTTACCGAGTATTTAAAACGTGCCAGCCACTGCTAAACAATTTATTATGTATATGTTTAGCATATATTACATGCTAAACAATTTTTCAAAGGAAATAACAATGAGTTGGCCCTCAGTATCTGTACGTTATGCATCGTGGATTCAGCAAACCTTGGATCAATAATATTCAGAAGAAAAAAAAAGTACCACAATAGAAGATTTTAAAATACAGTAAAACAACTCTTTATATAACATTTACATTGACTAGGCATTATAAGTAATCTAGACATGATTTAAAGTATACAGGAGGGGCTGGGTACAGTGGCTACGCCTGTAATCCTAGCACTTAGAGAGGCCTCTGTGGGAGGGCCTCTTGCGCCCAAGAGTTCTCGAGATCAGCCTGGGCAATGTGGTGAAACCCTGTCTCCACAAAAAATTTAAAAATTAGCTGAGCGTGGTGGTGCATGACTGTAGTCTCATATACTCTGGAGGCTGAGGTGGGAGGATTGTTTGAACCCAGGAGACTGAGGCTGCAGTGAGTGAGTGCAGCACTGCACTCCAGCCAGGGCGACAGGGCAAGACCTTGTCTCAAAAAATGAAAATAAAATGAAAAATAAAGTATACGGGAGGATGTGTAGAGGTTATATACAAATACTATGCCATTTTATAACGGAGACTTGAGCATCCATGAATTTGAACCAATCTCCCATGGATCCTGTGGATGGCTGTATTATCATGTTCAAAACATGAAATTTACAAATTCATTAAGAAATTAGTGTAAGGCTGGGCTCGGTGGCTCACGCCTGTAATCCCAGAACGTTGGGAGCCTGAGGCAAGTGGATTACCTGAGGTCAGGTCTCTACTAAAAATACAAAAAAAATTAGCCAGGAATGGTGTTCACCTGTAATCCCAGATACTTGGGAGGCTGAAGCAGGAGAATCGCTCGGACCCAGAGAGGTGGAGGTTGCAGTAAGCGAAGATCACGCCACTGCACTCCAGTCTGAGTGACAGGAAAAGAGCAAGACTCCATCTCAAAAACAACAAAAACCAAAAAATTAAAAAAACTTTTTTTTAATCCAGAAGATACAACCA